GTCAACAAGGAGTACAGAGTCTGGAGGTTTGATCAGGGAGGGGCAGCGGATGACTGGGAAAAGTTTATGTTGGACACGTCGAAAGGGTTTACTCGTGCCGGCACTGAACGCTTAAACGACTCGATTCGAACGTACGTGTGGGCGGTGTTGGGTGCGCAGACGCAAACCTAGACGCCAACAACCTGTACGGCTGGGCCATGAGTCAGTATCTACCCACAGGGGGATTCGAATGGGCGTCACCCATTGATGTTATGAGCATCGCACCAGATTCGAACAAAGGCTATATCCTGGAAGTGGACTTAGAATACCCCAAGGCATTACACACATCACACAACAGCTACCCCCTGGCCCCTGAACGTATGAGGGTTAACCCAGACTGGATGTCTGAGTACCAACATAACTTGTTAGGTGGGCGGTGGCAGACGCTGAAAACTCGTGCCCTAACTTAATGAATAAGGCCAAGTACATAGTTCACTATCGCAACCTACAGCTGTACCTGTCGTTGGGTATGAGGCTGACCAAAATACACAGGGTGCTCATGTTCGACCAGAGCCCATGGATGGAACCCTACATCAGAATGAACACAGACCTCCTAAGCTTGCCACCAGTGACTTTGAGAAAACCTCTATAAGCTCATGAACAACTCGGTGTTTGGTAAGACTATGGAGAACCTGAGGAAACGCGTGGACCGCGTGAAGCTGGTTCGGTCGAATGAGGAAGACAAGCTCAGGAGACTGATAGCCAGTCCGGCATTCACCCGTAGTAAAATATTCACCGATGACCTAGTTGCCCTACACATGAAGAAAAGCCACATAAAATTCAACCGGCCTGTTTGTAAATGGGGATGAGCATCCTCGATTTATCCAAACACCTGATGTACGACTTTTACTACAACGAGCTTAAGAAACAGTACGACGACAGGTGTGAAGTTCTGTACACTGACACGGATTCCCCGCTGATGGAGATTCAAACCGAGGACGGTAATGAGGACATGAAAAACACCTCGATTTTGTATGACACCAGCGACCTACCCCAAGGACCATGTCATACACAGTACGGTAAATAAAAAGGTCCTAGGTAAGATGAAGGATGAGTGTGCCGCACACCCATAGCCGAAAGTACATAGGTTTGAGGCCTAAGATGTATTCCATACTGAAGGCCGACAATGGTGAGATCCGAAAGGCTAAGGGTGTTAAGAAGTACGTGGGTTAAACAACACATCAAACACGCCAGATTCAAGGAAGCCCTGTTCAAGACCCGTACATTTAGGCATAAAATGAACACACTTAGAAGTGATGGCCATAGGATATAATGGACTGACAATAAACAAGACGCCCCTGTCGCCTATGGACACTAAACGTTGGATAGCTATTGATGGGATCAACACGCACGCCAGCATCGGGCATGAGAAAAATTGAACCAGAAAAAGTTTGAGGCTATTTACTACAGCCCGCCGGGGTACTGGAAAGGAGCTAGCGCCAGTAGATAAGCTGGCTAAAATGGCGCTGAAAATACCCCGAGGAGGCTGCAAAGCATGGCTTGAAAAACAAGCCCTATGGCAGATCTATTTACCGGCACCACGCTACGTGCCGAGAAGGAGGTTCGGTATTAACATACCTAATAGCGCTCACCAGGCCGACCTCCTATTCCTACCCCACGACAAGAGGTACAAGTATGCCTTAACCGTAGTGGACGAAAGCCAGTCGCTACAAAGGAAGCCGAACCCTTGACCACGAAAGATTCTGCCCAGGTAGCCAGAGGATTCAACGATATACAAACGCAGTCCGCTGACGTGGCCAACAGAGCTGCAAGTTGACCCCGGCTGGAGTTCATGGGTGCCGTGGTCACAACTGCTAACCAAACACGATACAAAGGTCAGGTAATGGCACGGCTGGAGCCCATCGCAGCCAAGCCATAGTTGAGAGATTCAATAGGACTTTGGCTGAGCTTTATTTGGGCATCAGTATGCTAGGGAGATGGTCACCCCGAAAACGATCGACTGAATGGGTATCACGGCTCCCCTAACGTGGTGTCGGCAATCAACCATGAAGTCACCCGCCTCACCGGCAAGAAACCGCAGACGCTATCAAACTAAAATCAATAGTGGCAGAGTCGGCTGCTCCATTGCGTGGGAAGGAGAAACAGATACCAGATAGGGCCCCTAGTAAGGTATCTATACCAGCCGGGGAACACGAGGGTGATAGCCGTAGTTTGAGCCACCGATCCTATATGGTCAATCAAAACTTACAACATAGATAAAGTTGACATGAAAGCCGACGAGCCTAACTTGTACTACTTGAGGGATGGGCCAGGTAGAGGGTTTGTAAGAGCGGAATTATTGATCGTACCGTACGGCACAGTGTTACCTCCGGTCAACACGGCATAGCGGTGCCCCAGGATACCAACACACTCCAGCCATGCCCCCGGCGCGGCTAGGAGGTCCCGCTATCGGCCCAAACTTTTTTATAGTAGGGGTAATGGTAGCAAGAGCTAAGGGTCCGACCAAAGCCTTACTTGTGAAATAAGGCTTTGCAGAGGCTTTGGTTGAAAGTGGTCCAGAACCCCCATTGTATATACTACTACATGGGCAGAACATCAGGAGAGAGTGACAAGTAAGGCTGGTCACATGACTGTTTGCGCGGGAAAGGGCAAATGGGAGGTAACTCGTGGGTGAGTGTATTTTTTACGTCCGCCTCGGGAACTTCAAGGGATTCAAGTGTTTCCACTACCAATTTTACTTGAAAAAGTACATTATTAATACTATGTTGTAATATTGTTCTAATTCAGTTACTGTTATTCAGTGTATGAAATTAGGCCCGTCCGACCGCCCGAGACGGGCTAGATTTGTGACGGATGATCTAAATTTACAACTGGCTAACCCGATGGTCTGGTAAAAGATTTTTAGATGTCCCATACATCTGAGTAAATTCACTTTGTCTTGGTGTCTGGTCTGGTTAAATCCATTTTGGGCTGGTAACATTTTGAAGTTGCCAGCCCCAATGTCTGGCTGGGTTTTTGGCTTATTTCATACACTGTGTTATTGTATTTTGTATCATGATCATCACATTGTTACAGTAATTAAACTGTCAAATAATACAATAGCCCAGCTAGTAGCAAACTCAGTGATAACTTATTGTTACTTGATTGGAATTTTTGCAAAAAGCATTTGGACTTTTTCTGCATCCCTGTGGATGCGCTAAGATATTTTGTTGCGTCCATTGTCAAATTTTAAGCGTATAGGACGCAGGAATTTGCATACTGTAAATCACTGTCTGCTTCAATCTCGGGCACTGAATACAAGTTTAGTTCACCTGACCAAATGCTCCAATCTACCTCAGTAGCAGAGCAGGGTCGAAAAGTTTTCTCATGGCTAAGTTGATGTTACCCATGGATGAACATATGTACAGTCACGCCGTGTTAGTCTGGTCACCGATAATCCGATTTCCCTTGCCACCCGCGAACAGACTCAAGCTGTAACCAATCTGGTTTACTATATAAACACATCAATTGTTGATTCATTAATCCGATGCTTCAGTCTCCGATTCTGAACATCAATTATCGGTAACGGATTAGCTAATTGTACTTGTTTTTGCGTCATTAATCCGTCTGTACATATGGCGGCCATGTTGCCTAACAATAGTGGGGCTCGTTATCGGTAAACTTCATTGGCTATTAGTACATTGCGAGTTGAACAAGTCATGAGTTTGCGATTTTAATAATTAACAGGTCACACTTTGTGTTAGTTTGAGCAAAACCTGTTATAGTTGTTCTTTTGTCTCTATCAGTCAAGTGAAAGGGAAGTAACTCTACTGCAGTGTGGTGTACTGGACTTGTTTCAGCAAACCGAAGTATCACTATCCGAACATTTTTTATGAAAAACTGCACAGTTCGGATTAACGCGGCCTGACTGTAGAGCATAAATTGCACATGGACTGTGTCACTTCCCCCTTGTTTAATGGAAATGGATTCATCCACATTGGTTCCCGAACTTACACTGTTTACTCTTCACATCAATTTGCTGATTAGTATGTTTACCAGTAATGACTGTTATTGCATTTTGCAACATTATTTTGCTCAAATGGTGTGGCATGATATTAGATCAATCCAGAGCTTCCGATCTTCTTGAAAACATAGATGTGACTGCTGCACGTGACTTATATAGAGATTAATACTCGCCGCTCGGGAAATGTCATTTTTCAATCCAATGTTTAAGGTGACCTAAATATATTCTGGAAGCATATGAATACAAATACGGCATGGTCAAAGTCACTGCGCAATGACAGGAACTGTTGTAGGACTAAAAATGTAGAGCCAATTTAAAACATTAATTTTTAACATTAATATTTCATATTTTTTTATGGTAATTGTCCTTGAAAAGATCAACAATTTTTATTCTCAGAGATTAAAAATTTCTCATTTCCCATCTTTGTGCATGGAAAATAGTCATTTATAACTCTCATAACATAAAAAAACATGATACAATTGCAAAATGTAAACGATACATGAACATATTTAAACTGATACTTTCAAAACTAAATATCGATACAGTGTTGAATGTATCGATAACTGTATTGTCTTAGAAAAGTATCGATGCATCGATGTGTCATGAAATCCCAACGTAAAACATGACAAACTCTTAAAAAATGTGATGTGTTATTATTTACTGAAATCTAGTGTTTATTAGTGTTGATAAATGTGTCCGATGAGTCAGTACCTGAAGTTGTAATAAACATTGTGTCTGTAGTTATGAATGAAAAAGATAGTCCCGCATTCTGATGTCACGTGATTGTCTCAACCGGCCAATGAAATGGCCGTTAGGGTTTATTACACATGTGCTACGCATCAAAACTATGTCATCACTTATTTTAACACATATTGATAATAACACTGAATATTGAGTGTTTCCACACATCAACTACTTTTGACACACCTTGACTGCACTCTTATCTTTCATAGAAGGGAGTCAAAATATTTACTGGGTAAATCTTGTCATGTTTCAGGTCTTTCTTCAGTTCGAAGACGAAGGAGAAAGATCCTGAAGAAAGTGTGACTGTCAAGTAAGTTCATCAGTATTGATGCCTTAGTAGCAGGGCTGCAACGATTCACCCAGACCTCGATTCGATTCGATTTTTGATAATGGACCCTCGATTCGATCAATTTCGATTTGATTCTTCATACAAGTAGAACATCAGAGTTTATTAAACAAAACATATCACACTGAAACCTTTTTCAAGATTTGACTAGGAAATCAGGAATGTAAATGATGTAGAGTGAAATCCTTGGTCAACTTGGAGATGTCTACTAACAACAATTTTCATTGGATAATTAGCCCGGCATCAACCAATCACATTTCCCATTATTTCAGCGCTCGAAACTGCTCGAGTTGGAGCCAAAATTACGATCTCGGCGTGTGGAAATAATCTAAATAGATATTCAAATATTGAATAGGAATAGTGATAATGGTTATCGAAAATCGAAACTAAGGTGTCAGATTCGATTTTTGATGAATAGAACCGAATCGTTACAGCGCTTCTTGGTAGCAGATGTTTAACACTGGCCCGTTTAGCAGGTGTTGCCATATTGGTATTCCCCACCAAACTGTATTCCCCACTGGAGGTGATGTACCTCAATCTATGTTCCCCACTGGAGGTGATGTACCCCAATCTATGTTCCCCACTGGAGGTGATGTACTTCAATCTATGTTCCCCACTGGAGGTGATGTACCCCAATCTATATTCCCCACTGGAGGTGATGTACCCCAATCTATATTCCCCACTGGAGGTGATGTACCCCAATCTATATTCCCCACTGGAGGTGATGTACTCCAATCTATGTTCCCACTGGACTGGGTGTGATGTACCCCAATCTATGTTCCCCACTGGAGGTGATGTACCCCAATCTATGTTCCCCACTGGAGGTGATGTACCCCAATCTATGTTCCCCACTGGAGGTGATGTACCCCAATCTATGTTCCCCACTGGAGGTGATGTACCCCAATCTATGTTCCCCACTGGAGGTGATGTACCCCAATGTATGTTCCCCACTGGAGGTGATGTACCCCAATGTATGTTCCCCACTGGAGGTGATGTACCCCAATCTATGTTCCCCACTGGAGGTGATGTACCCCAATCTATAGTTCCCCACTGGAGGTGATGTACCCCAATGTATGTTCCCCACTGGAGGTGATGTACCCCAATCTATGTTCCCCACTGGAGGTGATGTACCCCAATCTATGTTCCCCACTGGAGGTGATGTACCTCAATCTATATTCCCCACTGGAGGTGATGTACCCCAATCTATGTTCCCCACTGGAGGTGATGTACCCCAATCTATGTTCCCCACTGGAGGTGATGTACCCCAATGTATGTTCCCCACTGGAGGTGATGTACCCCAATGTATGTTCCCCACTGGAGGTGATGTACCCCAATCTATATTCCCCACTGGAGGTGATGTACCCCAATGTATGTTCCCCACTGGAGGTGATGTACCCCAATCTATGTTCCCACTGGAGGTGATGTACCCCAATCTATGTTCCCCAGGTGATGTACCCCAATGTATGTTCCCCACTGGTGATGTACCCCAATCTATGTTCCCCACTGGAGGTGATGTACCCCAATCTATGTTCCCCACTGGAGGTGATGTACCCCAATCTATATTCCCCACTGGAGGTGATGTACCCCAATCTATGTTCCCCACTGGAGGTGATGTACCCCAATCTATGTTCCCCACTGGAGGTGATGTACCCCAATGTATGTTCCCCACTGGGTGATGTGAATGTACCCCAATGTGATGTTCCCCCACTGGAGGTGATGTACCCCAATCTATATTCCCCACTGGAGGTGATGTACCCCAATCTATGTTCCCCACTGGAGGTGATGTACCCCAATCTATATTCCCCACTGGAGGTGATGTACCCCAATCTATATTCCCCACTGGAGGTGATGTACCCCAATCTATGTTCCCCACTGGAGGTGATGTACCCCAATCTATGTTCCCCACTGGAGGTGATGTACCCCAATCTATGTTCCCCACTGGAGGTGATGTACCCCAATCTATGTTCCCCACTGGAGGTGATGTACCCCAATCTATATTCCCCACTGGAGGTGATGTACCCCAATCTATGTTCCCCACTGGAGGTGATGTACCCCAATCTATGTTCCCCACTGGAGGTGATGTACCCCAATCTATGTTCCCCACTGGAGGTGATGTACACCAATCTATGTTCCCCACTGGAGGTGATGTACCCCAATCCATGTTCCCCACTGGAGGTGATGTACCCAATCTATGTTCCCCACTGGAGGTGATGTACCCCAATCTATGTTCCCCACTGGAGGTGATGTACCCCAATCTATGTTCCCCACTGGAGGTGATGTACCCCAATGTATGTTCCCCACTGGAGGTGATGTACACCAATCTATGTTCCCCACTGGAGGTGATGTACCCCAATCTATGTTCCCCACTGAGGTGATGTACCCCATATGGACTGGAGGTGATGTACCCCAATCTATGTTCCCCACTGGAGGTGATGTACCCCAATCTATGTTCCCCACTGGAGGTGATGTACCCCAATCTATGTTCCCCACTGGAGGTGATGTACACCAATCTATGTTCCCCACTGGAGGTGATGTACACCAATCTATGTTCCCCACTGGAGGTGATGTACACCAATCTATGTTCCCCACTGGAGGTGATGTACACCAATCTATGTTCCCACTGGAGGTGATGTACACCAATCTATGTTCCCCACTGGAGGTGATGTACACCAATCTATGTTCCCCACTGGAGGTGATGTACACCAATGTATGTTCCCCACTGGAGGTGATGTACACCAATCTATGTTCCCCACTGGGAGGTGATGTACCCCATCTATGTTCCCACTGGAGGTGATGTACACCAATCTATGTTCCCCACTGAGGTGATGTACCCCAATCTATGTTCCCCACTGGAGGTGATGTACACCAATGTATGTTCCCCACTGGAGGTGATGTACCCCAATCTATATTCCCCACTGGAGGTGATGTACCCCAATCTATATTCCCCACTGGAGGTGATGTACCCTGGAATCTATATTCCCCCACTGGGTGGCAAATGTACCCCAATCTATATTCCCACTGGAGGTGACTGGAGGCTGATGTGACCCCCAATCTATATTCCCACTGGAGGTGATGTACCCCAATCTATGTTCCCCACTGGAGGTGATGTACCCCAATCTATATTCCCCACTGGAGGTGATGTACCCCAATCTATATTCCCCACTGGAGGTGATGTACACCAATCTATGTTCCCCACTGGAGGTGATGTACCCCAATGTATGTTCCCCACTGGAGGTGATGTACACCAATGTATGTTCCCCACTGGAGGTGATGTACACCAATCTATGTTCCCCACTGGAGGTGATGTACACCAATCTATGTTCCCCACTGGAGGTGATGTACATGTTCCAATGTGTGTTCCCCACTGGAGGTGATGTACACCAATCTATGTTCCCACTGGAGGTGATGTACCCCAATCTATGTTCCCCACTGGAGGTGATGTACCCCAATCTATGTTCCCCACTGGAGGTGATGTACACCAATCTATGTTCCCCACTGGAGGTGATGTACACCAATGTATGTTCCCCACTGGAGGTGATGTACACCAATCTATGTTCCCCACTGGAGGTGATGTACACCAATCTATGTTCCCACTGGAGGTGATGTACACCAATCTATGTTCCCCACTGGAGGTGATGTACACCAAATCTATGTTTCCCACTGGAGGTGATGTACACCAATGTATGTTCCCCACTGGAGGTGATGTACACCAATCTATGTTTCCCACTGGAGGTGATGTACACCAATGTATGTTCCCCACTGGAGGTGATGTACTCCAATCTATATTCCCCACTGGAGGTGATGTACCCCAATCTATATTCCCCACTGGAGGTGATGTACCCCAATCTATATTCCCCACTGGAGGCAAAGTACCCCAATCTATATTCCACACTGGAGGCGATGTACCCAAATCTATATTCCCCACCAGAGATGATGTACCCCACACTGTACCCCACTGGAGGTGATGTACCCCAATCTATGTTCCCCACTGGAGGTGATGTACCCCAATCTATATTCCCCACTGGAGGTGATGTACCCCAATCTATATTCCCCACTGGGGGTGATGTACTTCAATCTATATTCCCCACTGGAGGTGATGTACCCCAATCTATATTCCCCACTGGAGGTGATGTACCCCAATCTATATTCCCCACTGGAGGTGATGTACCCCAATCTATATTCCCCACTGGAGGCCCCAAATCTATGTACCCCAATGTATATTCCCCACTGGGGTGATGTACCCCAATCTATATTCCCCACTGGAGGTGATGTACCCCAATCTATATTCCCCACTGGAGGCTGATGTACCCTAATCTATATTCCCCACTGGAGGTGATGTACTCCAATCTATATTCCCCACTGGAGGTGATGTACCCCAATTTATATTCCACACTGGAGGCGATGTACCCAAATCTATATTCCCCACTGGAGGTGATGTACCCCAGACTGTACCCCATTGGAGGTGATGTACCCCAATCTATATTCCCCACTGGAGGTGATGTACTCCAATCTATATTCCCCACTGGAGGCGATGTATCCCAATCTATATTCCCCACTGGAGGTGATGTACCCCAATCTATATTCCCCACTGGAGGTGATGTACCCCAGACTGTATTCCCTACTGGAGGGGTTGTACCCTAATCTGTATTCCACACCAGAGGTGATGTTATAACTGGACTACTGTTAATGTGATATTAGATACAAACTGTTACTCATTAATTTAATCACAGCTGATAAACTTAATGTAAGAATGAATAATATTTTGTTGTTTTAGAAAAGAAGATAAATCTCCACTTAAGGTTAAAAATGGATCCCCATCCAAAGAAAGTGACTCTCCTATCAAGGTTCCGTCTCGGAAGAAGAAGGCCAGAATCATTGAGAGCGATGATGAAGAAGAGGAGGAGAATGTGGATATTGTGATGGAGGAATCAGAAGATGGCAGGGGAGATAATCCAGATGTCAAATCTAGTCAAGAGAAATCTGAAGAGAAGCCCATGAAGACTGTGACACCACACAAAGATAAACCAGTAAATATAATTATCTATGTCCGTACATTTTCCTTACCCCAGTTTGAGATAGTCTTATGATCTGCTTCTGAAAAATGTATCATTTTGCGCCTGCTTAACATGATCAAATCTACTAAAACTACTGTAGCTTTCTTATTGAAGATATGGGCCTAGTTGAAGTGTTTGCTTGTCACGCCAAAGATCCTGGTTGGATTCCCCACATGGGTACAAGGTGGGAAGTCCTTTTCTGATGTCCCCCTGCCGTGATATTGCTGGAATATTGCTATATTAAGCGGCGTGAAACTAAATTCACTCACTCACTCACTTAATGAAGATAACCTATCTTTTCTTTTCTTTCAATCCTTGTATGAGTTTGAAAATTAGGGTACTTACTTTGGGATTTCTGTCTTAATAAGACCTGTACTTGTTAGACCGTGTAGGGATTTGGAGTGTTTTTGTGGAAGTTTACTGACTGGATCTTTAAACAGCATGTACTCGCTTCCCTAAGATCACTGGTATCATGAAGTCATAACAGAGGGCAAGCATTGAATATTTAAGGTTACAATACAGGGATCCAGATAACTTTTCAACATCAGGAGTAAGTACTCCTTATTTTTTCAATACAGGATTACTGGAAAACCTTAGAGTAGTGAATGGAATTTAATGGAGTACCAGTAATCTTGTGTTTCTTTTCATATATGCACCACAACATTGCTACTCTTGTGTAAACAGGTCAATAAACAATAAAATGATACTTTTGCAGATCTGTTACGTTTTTTAAATATTTCATGCATATTCCCCACTAGAGATGATGTTCCCTGATTTGTATTCGCCACCCGAGGTGATGTTCCCTGATTTGTATTCCCAACTAGAGGTGATGTTCCCCCAAAATTTCTTGCATATTTTATATCCGTACATACGTCGATACGGCCGTTATCTGGAGCCCTGCAATATTGGGGTGATAATATACAATTATAGACTCTTGTAGAGGTCGATATCGTTTTTTATTGACCTGAGTAAAACAATTTCGACTGAGCTTGCGAGGTCGATATTGTTTTTCTCAGGTCAATGAAAACCGATATCGACCTCTACAAGAGTCTATAATTGTTTTATTATATAATGAAAGAGAAACGGGTTTTAACATAAACTTTTAATGCACACACTGTGCCATCTATCCGAGTGATCTGATTGGCTGAAAAGCGGGGGAAGCCCCTTCGTACGGGTTCCTTGTCTATTTTTAGTAACCCAAGTCAATATCGTAATTTATCAGAAAACTCAAGTCAATATCGTGTTTTGTAGTCAATCATGTGACGGTCTTTTGACCAATCGTGGTACAGGAAAAATACTACCTATATAATAAACATTATTATACCCTCGTTGACGATGTCCTTCTGTCCGTCCGTCCGTCCCGAACCTTTGTCATGAGCATGTCTCTTAAAGTTTACATGCTAGGTTCACCAAACTTCACACACATGTTAATCATTACCCATAGATGTGCCTTTTGCTATTTGGAAGTTTATCAGAAGTCTTTTTTTTTTGCTATTTCCATGGAAACGACTTACTGCAAAATGTGTTTGATGGTTTTCTTGTTTTTATCTCCGAAACTATACATGCTAGGTTCACCAAACTTAACCCACGTCCACTTCATTGTGTGCAACATGAGACAGTCAAGTTCAAGTTTCGTATGTCAGGTTTCTACTGAAAACACCAAAAAATAATAGTTCCATAAATTATTAATGTAATCAGTAAATAGTAAAACTATTATCTAAGATGCATATAAAGTTAGTCGAATCAAGGAGAAAGTCTTGTGAGCTGCTGATCCTTGTCACATGATATATATCAATATCAGTCATTTCCATGTCCCAAAGTGGGAAGCGGGGATCTGTGAGCTGTGCTCACTTCTACACTTGTATTTGATTCTATTTCATTCAACACAAATTCCAGATGGTTGAAGCTATGTGTGAGTGAAGTATTCATTTTTTTCAATCATTATGTTGTTACTTGTTGATTCCCAAGTTTTATATAAAATTTGTAAAAGAACTAGTTGTGAAACCAACAAAGAAATGTGAATGTAATTAACAATTGTGTTCTAAAATTGACTTTGTTCATAAAGACAATAACGGTGGTCCGGTTAATTGAAATAATTGAAGATTGGTCGCAGTGACTAAACGACCAAGCAGTCGATCTTAATTTCTCATAATCGAACACAAACAATTTTGGAACACTTGTTTACATTGACAATATTTTTCACAAGGTAGGTTTTGTCTGTTACTTTTCATAAGCACTACAAGCTTGTACCAAGTCATGATTGAATTTATCTTTAAAATCCAGGACATAAGTTCCTAACATAAGTCATCCTGTAAAGATGTGCAATTTGCAAAAAAACCCTGAAAGAACTACAGTAGAACACGGATATAGCGAACACGGATGTAGCGTACAAACGGATATAGCGAACAAATTTAAAAGTCCCGTCAACAGTCCTTTATAATATCATTAAAATTATACGCGAATAACGAACTCGTGAGTAGCGAATTAACGGCTATAGCGAACTGATTTACTACCCCCAAGCCCAATTAACGACGTGATTAGCGAACTCACTCAGTGTCAGCTCAGTCACTTAGCGGTATACATCAACCTTGTTGGCGGCGAATCAACATATTGTTGAGATTGTTAAACATGTTCTAGCTAATGTCTGTGAATGATAAATTCAGAATTTTAATGTTATGTCAATGTACATGTACAAGAATAAAGATTTGTAGCCTCAGCATATACGTGTCTCGACATCTCTACAATCCAAGATGGCGGTCAAATGTGAATAATGAACACCGGATATAGCAAACTAAAGTTCTTGGTCCCTTGGAGTTCGTTATATCCGTGTTCTACTGTACATGTATTTTCTGTATGTTTTGTGCATTAAGAAACATAATCAGGAAAATTTTAAGGATTGACTGTGTATTTCTTTCGTTGCATTGAGGTATGAAACTAAAAACCAATGTGCAACTGTATGAATCACGCCACGCCGGATTCTTACAAAAGTTTGCACATTGGTTTTAGTTTCATACCCCAATGCAACGAAAAGAAATACACAGTCAATCCTTATAATTAAATTCAACAACAAATACTGTAGGCTTTCAACAATATTTTATTTAAACACAATCAAATTCATCTAAACAGATATCTTTGTTACCACCGATTTACGGATTAACATTTTCGGTGTAAGAATTCGTAATGGCGCGACATGACTCAGGTGACTCATTTACATAAAATGACACGCCTACCAAACCATTAGCCAATCAGCATAGAGCACCCCAAACAGCTGTCAATCAACCAAGCTAACATCGGGTTGCGAATCAGAGCGAACAAGACAACGCGGACGATGCCGGTAACGGCAAAGTTTCGAAGTTCAAACATTTGAATTATTACCAGCTTAACTGAAAGACACAGTTTGAAAAGTGAGAATTGGAAATGAAGCCCGATGACATGAAGTTAGTGGAACTGAGATTGTTAGTGGCAGCAGTATTTGGCGCAAGTGGAAAGGGGCTGTGATGTGACTGGGATTGCGATGCCATGAACTGATGTTCCAACGTGCGCATGCTCTTGTCGAGGGCGCTACAATGGCGGAAAGCCGCCTCGCTAATTCTTAGTTTTTGAGTAGTCGTTGTGTGGCTTACTATAACTACGCGATCGAACTTTCATTCCTATGGCCACTCATAAACATTATGTGATCGAAGTTCAAAGCCAGCGTCACTCATGGCTTGGATTGCTGTGGCCAAGGCAATGAGCAGTGTGTGACTGACTACATTGGGCATTGCGACATATGTCAGACATGAAACGAAAGTGAACTGGTATTTTTGACTGGGGTTGCTGTATACCAAATGTTGTGTGCGCCTGGAGAACTAAGTGCATCTTTATTACAGTGCGAAAAAAGTGATCCGCATTTGGGTCACTTTTGTCAATGAGCTGGCTAAGGCGCATTGACAGGACATTGGTTTATATCATTCGTCACAGACATTCGCTTGTCGCTTATGCTTCATCGCTGCTGAGACCACCCTGGATGTTTTTGTTTTACGTTTAGGTGGGACAGTGTGACATATTCAACATTGCTATCATCTACCGCAAATTCAAAGGATGTGGGCTTAAGCTGCTGGTGAAATTCAAGACCATGACTTACAAAATGGATGGCCAAGTCGCATTCATACTTTGTACCGGAGGATAACAGGATTGGATGCCTAATGCAGATAAGTGCTAATTTTCATCAGATCACTTGTTTCAATGATTGATTTATATTGTGTGGGATGTGACAAGCCATGTTGTACATTGTACTTTAATTTGGCATCAAGCATATCATTTGCAGACTTAAACTGCTTATCTCTTACAATGTCAATATCTCTCCGATATCATTTAAGTGTCTTTTCAGGGCAGAACTAACATTTTTAAAGTGTTCTTAGGATACTCGCAGCATGTGCAGCCGGCATATTTTCACATCTTGTTTCCTGGTTTTAGGCTGTGCCTCAGTGTAGAAAAATCTCAACTTTGTGTTAAGTTCCTCTGGTGTAATTGTTGAAAAATCACAGTCCTCCCTCGCCTCGAATCCACCAATCTAAATAAACAGAACGAAAACAATATCTAGAAACCTGACTATGACAGACCCAACTATGTAAACTTTGAACTAGGTAACTTTATAGCAAATCATTTTTCTCGGTTAGATCTACATAATTTAATCTCATTCTGATAATTGTTCCCTTTTTAAAAATACAACTTTGTGCTGATGAACTGTCTTTCGCTTTGAGAAAATATATAATAGGGATGGAATTTGAAAATAATATTTATAAGAATTGTGTATATCTACCTTGGAATAGTTTAACACCCCATTTTGTGTTTCTTTTTGTGGATGTTGATTGTCTGTAGTCGCCCATTCAAGTAAATCATTATTTGATAAACGCTTGAAATGATGTGTTTGGGATGGCTTATCATCGACTTGCATTGCACTAGTCATCTCGCGGATTTGCCCGATGTTTTTG